CTGAATATGACCCAATAATGAACAAAGAGGGAATGAATGCATTAACAAGTAGTTTGCCTTCATTAATACTAGATCTCTTACTGATGAGAGTTGTGGTCTGTGTAGCTTTTTGAGGAGATGAACACACTATGATAAAATAACAGTAACTAACTTTTACTGCTGAACCATATGATAAGACGATTTGGTATATGTATATGTACGTGTGCAGCTGGGGTTTTTGGCCTCAAAAAGAAGAATGAGATCCAGCCAAGACCCAAAATCAGAACCTTTGGAACACTTCCTTACAATCTGATTTCAGCTAATGTCTACACACTTTAACACATTGTCTAATGCTTAGCCTGAAGACTGGCTGTCAGACTCGTACATACTATTTTGGGCTCTGTTACTCACTACCAAGTATCTCGTTCTTATATCCCATGATTCTGCTAAAGATTTCAGGATTTGCTGCATTAGGGATAAAATACTGTCTAATTAATATTAGTAAGGCAAGTGAGAAAGGAAAACGAAATGAAACCTAATGCAGTGATAGGGGAAACAGATTTCAGGTTGGCATGAGTCAGTCAAAAACAGGCAAATTGGAGGAATTCCTAGAAGAGCACCCATGATAATCAGGGGATGGGGCGGGCTGAATGATTTCTAAAAGAGGAAGAAACAGTATGTCCCATTATGCTTGAAAAGGGGCCAACAGGGAGGGAAGTGATGAGATCCAATAGGAACATAAAGGCAAAGAGGAATAGAGTGGTGCTGGCGTGGCATAAGGAAAGATTTTCCAGGAATAATGTAATAAAAGCAAGAATATCCTCAGTCAGGTTAAAGTCTAGCAACAGCTTCCTGGAAATGATAGATTCTAGATTTACCATTTGATGAACCCATCTGATATGTTTTAAATGTCTTCTAAAACTCTCTGGAAGGTTCAGCCCAAAAAGCAGACGTTCATGGGGCTACCATAACCTGCTTTATCAACTCAGGGGCACATATTGCCACATCTCCTTTATTTTCCCAAACCGGCCCTATGACAGGGTATGGAGTCTTTTCTTGAGGCCCCTGCCACCAGCTGCCCTAGAGCCAGAAAGAGACCATCTTGCCTGTGAGCTGGAATCTGAGGCACCGTGGATGGCTGCTCCTACCTGGTGGGCAGGCCCGTGTCTAGTGCTATAGGACAGTCCTCAGGACCCTCCTTGGACCTCAGTGGAACTCCACTCTGGGTTTCTAGGGTGACATACCCTTTTAGTGTTTATTCCCTTGGTCAACATAGTTCCCAGAACAAACCTCTGGGCTAAGATAACCAGGACTGGAGGAGCTAATAGCATCAGTCCACATATTATGCCAAAATATCCTCCTAAGTTTGGATTCCCCATTTTCTGAAGTAATGTCACCTTAAGGGACTTGTCCCTCCCCCCTTTTCCTCAGGGATACCATGTTCTATCTCAACAGAGCTTCCCAATTTGGCATCTTATGGGAGCCAGGGACTCAGGTCCTAGTTTCTTTTCTCCCAGAAGACTTTGGTTTCTTCCTGGATATTGTTCACCCCATTCTCTGCACCCAGCTCTGCAATATCCACAATGAAAGAGGCTCCATAATTGGTCTCTATAAAGTTACAGAAAGCTAACTTGTCTCAACTAAAGTGACAATATCTCACTCTCATGATCAGGTAGGTATTTCTTTTATAGACTCTTGGACTCATAGATTGTAGATTGGTACGAAATTTGCTGGTCTTCTAGTCAAGACTTTTCATTTTACAAACATGGAAGCAGACCCAGAGAAAAGTGAGTCGTCCAGAGTCCACACAGTGCCGGAGCTGGGCCAGAAGCCCTGCACCCCTGTCCACTCCTCTTTCCACGGCACCTCACTTTCATTTCTCTTTTGATTTTATTTAATTTCATGTTTCACTGAAAAACTTACAGCTTTGTGTCTGTTTATAGTAAGCTTCCCTCTTTTTGGTATAGGTGCATTAATAAATGGATTAGAGAAAAGAGATGTCTCATAAATCTCCTGCTTCTTATGAATTATGCACACCATTTACATCCTTGAACATTAATTGTTCCACCTAGTTTTGAGTGCTGCCTGATAACAAAATGTTAGGAAATGAAGTCTGACAACGTGTAAAAAGGCACATATATTATGATCAAGTGGAGGTTATCCTAGAAATGCAAGATTGGTTTAACATTCAAAAATAAATCAACGTTATTTTCCTTATTAAAACACTTTTTTTAAAAAAGAAAAACTGTGATTATCTAAATAGATGCAGAAAAAGTATTTGTCAGAATCCAGCATCCACTCCTGATTTTTTATTTATTTATTTATTTATTTAAATATATTTTATTGATTTTTTACAGAGAGGAAGGGAGAGAGATAGAGAGTTAGAAACATCCATGACAGAGAAACATCAATGAGCTGCCTCCTGCACATCCCCCACTGGGGATGTGCCCACAACCCAGGTACATGCCCTTGACCGGAATCGAACCCAGGACCCTTCAGTCCGCAGGCCGACGCTCTATCTGCTGAGCCAAACCGGTCTCGGCTCTCTCCTGATTTTTTAAATAAACTCCCAGCAAATTAGGAATAGAAAGAAATTTCCTCAACTCAGTAGGGACATCTATGAAATACCTAAAGCTACCATCATAAATAACAATGAAAGGCGGAATCCATTTCCCCTGACATCAGGAACAAGGCAAGGATATTTGCTCATACCACTTACAGTTTAAACTGTACTAGAGGTACAGTGCAGTACCAGTACATCTAGCCAATGCAGTAAGGCAAGAAAATACCTTGAAATAATCCAGTTTGGAAAGGAAATAAAATGTCTTCATTTACAGACAACATAATCTACATAGAACATCTATGGAATCTACCACAAAAAGGTTATGAAAACTAATAAGCACCAGCTAGTGTGGTTCAGTGGTTAAGCATTGACCTATGGACCAGGAGATTATGGTTCGATTCCCAGTCAGGGTTGCGGCCTCGATCCCCAGTGGGGGGCTTGCAGGAGGCACCCAGTCAATGTCTCTCCCTTTCCCTCTCCCCCTCTCACTTCATCTCTCTCTCTAAAAATCAATAAAAAATCTTTTTCTTTAAAGTTAGACTTACATATACCAAATAATCTTCCATTCTACCCCTAGGTATTTACACAAGAGGAATGAAAGGATATGGTCATATAAAGATTTAAACACTAATCTATAGCAGCTTTATTTGTAACTAGAGGTTCAGTGCACGAAATTTGTGCATGGGGGGTCCCTCAGCCCGGCCTGCACCCTCTCCAATCTGGGACCCCTCAGGGGATGTCCAACTGCCTCTCGCAATCCATGACCGCTGGCTCCTAACCACTCGCCTGCCTGATCACTCCAAACCCCTCCCCTCTGCCTGCCTGCCTGATTGCCCCTAACCACCTCTGCCTCACCCCGCATCTAGGACCCATGATTCCCTCCTCTGGCCGGTCACAGGCACCTGGGACCCCGGGCTTCCCTCCCTCTGGCCGGCCGCAGGCACCCAGGACCCGGGCTGGCTTCGTCTGGGCCAGCCACAGCCACAGGGGACCGTGGGCAGGTGGCTTCACTCAGGCCGTAGGTACCCAGGACCGCGGGGCAGGCGGCTTGTCCCTCTCCCGGGCCGCAGCCTAGCTGGTCCCCATTCCTCTCTCCCCAGTGTTGAGTGTCTGAACCATTACGGCCTGAGGGCGTGATGACCATTTGCATAGTAGCTCTTTATTATATAGGATAGCCAAAAACTGTGAGCACCCAAATATCCACCAGTAAGTAGATAAATGGATGAAAAATTGCACTATGTCCATACAATAGGACACTTCTCGTCAATAAAGGAACACACAATTGGTGCACACAACATGGATGAATCACAAAATACCTATACATCATAAAAGAAGCCAGAATTAAAAGGATACAATCTATATGATTCCATTTATATAAAATATAGAAAATGACAACTAATATGTAGTGTCAGAGCAGACCTGTGGTTTCGGGGGCTGGGATACAGAGAGGTGCAAGGGAGGGGCTATTAAGGACATAAAGAGATGGTTGTTGATGAAGGATGTGTTCATTGTCTTGATTACCAAAATATATCAAACTACACACTATAAATATATGCAGTTCATTGTATATTAGAGCTGTTAAAAATAAATAAGCATAAAACCACAAAGAAAATAAGACTCATTGTTGGAATTCATACTAGTAGTAAACATTACTGAAAAACTTATGTAAATTAAGTACAGATACTATTGTTTTAAATATGTCAGTGGACACTTTTTAAAGCAAAGAATCTTTTTTTTTATCTTCACTGTTGAATACATCTTTGTTATGACTCCTGTTGTGATGTTGTATGTCCTTAAAGAGGATGTACACCAAATCTGCAGATAATGACAGCTCCGTTCCACTTCTTTTCAAGAGCTTTTCATGAGCAACAGTGGCATTGTGTTGGTTGTGCTTTGTCTTACAGTGGCCAAGGGCAATTGCAATAGCTGGCTACATCTACTGTTAATACACACACTGCTTAGATCCCTTGTTAAATTGTGTATTTTGATTAAATATTTGGTATCTTAACCAAATTTCAACTTAGCAACTTACATGTATTTAAATCAAGAGAGCATTACACATACTTCAAAAATGATTCATTTCCTCTTAACACAAAGCTCAAATGAATACTTGAATTGGGACTGTGTATACATGAAAGTTTCTTTTCAGTCAGCCAAAAATCAAAACTACCAAGTTTTAAAGTATGTATGTGTTTTAAATGTTTTGGGTGTTCCATTAAAGATCTGGCTTCATTTCATTGGGGTAAAAGGACGCAGTAAATGGAAACGGTAAAGTCAGCCATAAAATCCGACTCTCCAATATGTTTTCTGAGCTCATTGTGCTGAGCATGAAAATGCTAATGAGCAATTCTGCCCCTTTCTGCCTGGCTCATGGCAATGAGACTCAGGAACCATGAAGTTCTTCCTCACCTTCTCTCTGTGACTCAGATAGAGGTGACCCGGCCTCTCTTTCTTTCAGGGTCTGAACGGCATGTCTGTGGATGAGAAGCCTGACTCCCCCATGTATGTGTATGAGTCCACAGTCCACTGCACCAACATCCTCCTGGGCCTCAATGACCAGCGGAAAAAGGATATTCTCTGTGACGTGACTCTGATTGTGGAGAGGAAGGAGTTCCGGGCCCACCGGGCTGTGCTGGCTGCATGCAGTGAATACTTCTGGCAGGCGCTGGTCGGACAGACGAAAAATGACTTGGTGGTCAGCTTGCCGGAGGAGGTACAGTAGTTTGGTTTGATTGTGTGTGTTGCTAATGGAGACATATTGGCTTGTAGACAGTTGGCTGAATGAGAGCTAGAAGGTGGACCCTGTGCCACATCCCCACTCGGGCTGATGTCCAAGTCACCCACATGTTAGGTTTATGTCATAGCCAGTTTCTATTTGATGCCTTTAAAGTCTCAGAGGCACGAATCTGAACAGAGCATCTTTCTTGAAGGGAACTGAACCCCACCTGTGGCTCACAGCCACTCAGTTTCTGGTTCACTTACTCTTCAGGTTTTGAGTAGTTCACAGCCAAAGTTTGGTACAGTCCTAGATGTGGGATCTGAATCACTGGGACTGTTGCTATGATTTTTCTGTTTCAAATGATTGAAGGAGCACTTGAGTTCCCCTGAGAGTTGAAGAACGAGAGTATTCACAGCACCGTTCTTGCTTGGGGAAAAAGTAAAAAGCAAGCTGAAATTTTGACAGTTAATATAGTATGATTCTAAGAAGTGCAAACTTGCTTTTCTCACCATTGTTGAAAATACCCTACTCAGGTTTCTTAATTACTTCAGTAAATTGAGTCATTTCAGTCTATTGAGGACACTGGTAGCTGGACCTGATCTGTCCAGAGATGACATTCAATTGGATGGTTTGAGCTACAGGAATTCAAATGATGGGCTTCACAATAATGACAAACCACTAAACTGGCCACCCTTTGAACTGTGCATACAATGTCTCTTCTTCCATCATCCTCATTCCCCTTCATTTTCATGGGACCAAGGATAACACTAAGCAGCCTTAGTCTTTGTGTTCAGGGCCAGAATCACTCCCTGTGCACCAGCACAGTGCACAACACCGCGGCCACCACCACCACTGCACAGCTCCCAGGGGTGAAGCTCACGTCCATAGTCTACCCCAGAGTTGAGCAGTAATCCACTGAGCAGCTCTTCACGGCAACCCTAGGAGAAACCAAAGATCCCACCACCCTGATGTGGGGTTCTGATGAGGACCACTGGCATTAAATCCCAGGGTCATAGACCCCAATGCCTCCAAAGCCCTGATCATACAAATGAGTAAAGAGGCTATGTATAAGGCAACAGGAAGTGGTGGGGCAAGAAAGGCATCTAAATTCAACATAAAATAAAAACAAATAGCCAGACAGGTAAGACAGGGGGGTCAGAGAGGATCAGCAAATCCAGTCCCTTGTTAAGCAACATCTGCCGTGAGTCCTGCAGAATGGGAGAGTGGCCACCTGATAAAGTGAGAACTCACGAAAAGTCTCATTACTCCTCCTCACAGCACTTACAAATAGGTAACTAGAATGATCCCAAAACTAGAAGCCAAAGGACAAATCAGTTGAAGGTAATATGACTGGTGCTGGGGTAGCTTACATACCAAGTAATGTGGGAAGGCCAAGGAACGGCAGCTCTGGTGTGACTGGGTGATGGGAGCTGGATTTTCCTCATCTGCAAGAGTGGGCGAGTACCCATTATTCCGTGGGATGATGAATATGAAAGTTCTCAGCATGGTCCCTATCCCACAGTAAATATCTGTCAAAAGGAAAACCCTTTGTTCTCTAGGTGAGAAGCAAGAATGCCTTTTGAATTTATTCCTACTCTGGAATTCCCTGGCAATATTTGGAAAATGTTTATTTATCCAAAATGGTCTTAGGGGGAGGGGTTTGGGGCTTATAGTTCATTTATTACCTGTATCTCTTTGAGAGCCACCTCATTTGTATGTTTTTTTTTCACTGATTTTAAAAAAATTAGATTCTATTAAAATATATTTGTAAATGGCCCGGCCAGCGTGGCTCAGTGGTTGAGTGTCGACCTATGAACCGGGAGGTCACGGTTCAATTCCTGGTCAGGGCATATGCCTGGTTGCTGGCTTGATTCCCAGTGTGGGGCATGCAGGAGGCAGCCAATCAATGATTCTCTCCCATCATTGATGTTTCTATCTCTCTCTCCCTCTCCCTTCCTCTCTGAAATCAATTGATATATATATATATATATATATATATATATATATATATATATATATATATATTTACAGATGAAAATCATGTTTTATGTAATCAGCCTCTCTTCAGTGTCTGCTGGCCCCATTTTGAGCCTCCCTGGACCATGTGCCGGAAGCCCTGCCTGCCTGGTTACCTCTGGGAGTCTGATCTAGGCACTAAACCTCTGTGAACCCCAGTTCTTATCTGTAAAAGCCCCTAAAATTCTGATGTCTTTGAATTATTTATCATAATATGATGCCAAGTCAGTAAAGTTTAAAGGAAACCGAGATATAAATGCACACAGCTGTAACCTGAAAGTTTCTTTTTAGATCAAAGCCCTGACAGTATCTTATTTCCTTGGCATGGGGCACTCTTTAAAGTAAGAGGCACACTGTGTAGTCATCACACAAAAACCTGCTATTTGACCTTTATGATTGATTGTGTTCCAGTTAAGTGGGAATATGCGATGTGTTGATTTTCTTTCTTCCTAGCCATGTAAAATGATTGCTGTCCCTATATTGTCTGCATTTCCAAACCATGAACGCATTCTGGTTGCTCAAGTACCTGAAACCTTCATACGTAACTAGATACTTCTTTCTTCCTGTGAAACATGAATTCCTATTGTCCGTAACCCAGCTCTAAGTATCTTGCTGATGGGGCGTGGGAGCCAGCCCCAGTGGCATTTTCCTTTGTGGGTCTGTCATTGTTTCTGAAGCCTCCTTCCAGGAGCCCCGTCCCCCTGCTCAGAACACCCCCCTGTGGCCCCCAGCACTAGGCATTGTTTTCTTCTCCTTGCTGTGTACACACTGAAATGTCCTTGCAGGCTCTGTGGTCATTGTACCTCCTAGTTCAGTGAATGACTTCATAGAATTTGAATTAAGTGGTGAACAACAAGAAATCCCAAACACTACCTTGGAAAGTAGCTGCCTGGAACTAACTGGCATTTGGTTCATATGATGTAAGAAAAAGCATTTGATTAGCCCCTTGGAAATCTTTGAACCTCATCATCATTCTCTCACTGAATTCAGATCAGCTTCTGGCCCTGTCCCAGTCTTGTTCACACTTGGCCCACCTCTACACTCCCCGGACAGACAGGCCTTGTATTTCCCAGGGGCCAGCAGGACCGAGTCTGAGAGCTCCTCCTCGGACTAAGAAACTTCCAGATACAGACTGCCACCACCCCTGCTCGGTCAGTTTAGGCCAAACCCAGCTCTGCTTCTAGCTGCTGTCCAATTGTACATTTCTACCCCCAAATCCTGAGTATTGATGGGCAATGCGATTACCAGCAAATTAGAGCCACAGTGCTGGTGTAACCTCTTAACTGGAAGGGGGAGAGACAAAAATAGAGACCTCCTTCCAGAAGCCAAGAAGTAATTGAACTATCTTGCTTTCTTCCCCTAAAATGGAGTGGCAGATAGTCCTTAGAAGTTTTATGAGTTGAGTGTTGGCTCCCCGTTGAAAAACACTCAGGAATGTGTGTCAGCCAACAGTGGAAGAGAAGACATTATACTTAGTACTTTCATTAAATAATGAAACAGATAATTTAATTTATAATTAGTAAGTATATTTTGTGCTAAGAGATGAAGAGAACGTGGCTGCTGTGCCAAGCATTGCAAGGCCATTATCCCACTGCTCATTAGTATTAAAGTTGGCTCAACAAGCACCTGCTTAGCTATAGTCACTAAAACCGTTTTGGGCTGGATGCCGACCATGCTGGAAGTGCATCACAATCATGAAGTTCATTCTTACGGTGTGTCAAGTGCAGAGGGCAGGAATGGGGTGTGCTTCCTTAGAAGACATGGAGCCCACAATGGGTTTGCCATTCAACCCCATTCATATGGGGCTGCTTGGCTCCCTTCCAAAATACCAGGGGAAGAGCAGCTGTTAAGAGGTTTTTGCCAAGGTCTAATATCAAAGAGTCAAAAGATAACAAGTGCTGACGAGGATGTGGAGAAAAGGGAACCCTTGTGCACTGTTGGTGGGAATCTAAATTAATACAGCCACTGTGGAAAACAGTATGGAGGTCCTTCAAAAAAATTAAAAATAGAACTACCATGTGATCCAGCAATCCCACTTCTGGGTATAAATCCAAAGAAATAAAATCACTATCTTGAAGAGATGTCTGCACTCCTATGTGCATTGTAGCATTATTCACAATAGCCAAGACTTGGAAACAACCTAAATGTTTATTAACATAGGACTGGATAGAGAAAATGCGGCATACATACATATACACACACATACATACACACAATGGAATATTACTCATTTGTAAAAAAAAAAAAAAAAAAAAAAAAAAGGAAATCTTGCTGTTTGCAGCATCATGTGTAAACTTGGAGGACATTATGCCAAGTGAAAAAAAACCAGACATAGAAATACAAATATTGTATAATCTCATGTAGCAATGTGAGATCATGTATGTAGCATCTAAAAAGAAGTAAACTCATCTAAACAGAGAGAGTGCAATGCTTGGGTACCACAGGAGTGGGGGGTAGGGCAAAAGGGGAAATAACTTTCAGTTATAAGATGAATAAGGTCTGGAAGCCTAATGTACAGCATGCTGACTGTAGTTAATAGTGGGTTTATATACTTGAAATTTGCTAAGAGAGTAGGTCTCAATTGTTCTCACCACACACACAAAATAACTATGAGAGGTGATCGATATGTTAATTAGTTTGATTGTGGTAATCACTTCATAGTTTCTGCATATACCAAAATAACATTGTATACCTTAAATATACACAATTTTTATTTGTCAAAAATAAATATCAAAAACTAGAGGGAAAAGAGGTTATTGCCAAGGCTCCACCACCTTTCTTTGGGCTTTTTCCCATGTCCTTTCATGGGGAAGGGTTCTTGCAGAGAATAGCTACAGGGTAGGGGTAAATATGGCCCCTTCAGGTGGACCGTATGCTTTCTTAGGTATAAATGTATTTCAGACTTCTGCTCACTCACTCTCTAGCCTTGTCTTTTGCACTCGCTCTCTCTCTCTCCTTCTCTCTCTCTCTCTCTCTCT